CTGCTTCTGTATCCTCTGTGTCTCGAGACCGACACGCGCGAATGGGGATTTGTTGCTCGCGTGCGCATCAAAGCGCGATGGCTCTTCTTGCTCTTCTTGCTCTTCTTGCTCTTCTTGCTCTTCTTGCGCGTTAGCGTTTTCACTTTCGCACCAAATTCCGCAACGTTGCTTGTCACGCCCCGCTCCCAGGCTGGTCGCACAGTCCACNTTCAGCTTGAGTTCGGCGGTTGATACAATGATGGGTGGGCGTGTTCGCGAGGTGTGCGGTGTATGTTTTGTGGTGTTTTGAGGTGTTTTGAATCTTAGAGGGGGTGAAAAGTGGGTCACGAAATAGTAAAAGTTACGCCTGTGTGGCTCAGTGGTAGAGCATCTGTCTTGTAAACAGAAGGTCCCCGGTTCAATCCCGGGCGGAGGCATGCCTTTTCCCTGCTGCTTCTGTATCCTCTGTGTCTCGAGACCGACACGCGCGAATGGGGATTTGTTGCTCGCGTGCGCATCAAAGCGCGATGGCTCTTCTTGCTCTTCTTGCTCTTCTTGCTCTTCTTGCTCTTCTTGCTCTTCTTGCGCGTTAGCGTTTTCACTTTCGCACCAAATTCCGCAACGTTGCTTGTCACGCCCCGCTCCCAGGCTGGTCGCACAGTCCACGATAAACATAAGTGGCTGTTGATGTCCCCCGTGTCGTGGTCCTTCTTCGTCGGGGTTGTGGATACCTCCACCGACAAGTCACGCGCGCGTAGCTGTAGACAAGATGCGTATAGGAGAAGTAAACCCCTTAAGACCCCGCGAAAATGCAATACGTTGTTTGTATGTTGTATCCAAGATGAAACCCCACGACTGAGCAATCTCCTACACAGTCGGCGGCAGCTACCTAACTTAAACCTTCGGTACTCACGAGCACGGCATGCCCTTGCGCCAACTTGCTCGTATCATGGGGGGGGGCGCCACTCGACCACTTTTGATACTCGGGTCATTCTGCCACAGTGACCCCCGTCACGCTTGGTAGGCCTGCCCAGTATGTCCTTGAACGTCCTGCTGACGTCGCTCCTCCCCTCGAGGGTCTCACCAAGTAGTGACAGCAGGTGTGTAACACGCCCGTCTGGACTCCGGCCGTGATCCGTGACACCCTTCATATGCGTGGAGTACTTCCGCGACAAAGCGGTAGCAGAGTGTCCTAAAAAGCGGAGTTGCCACCCCAGTCGGTCGCAGTAGTCAACCTCGCTAGCGGTCAGTTAGTGTTTATTTTTACACAGAAGATGGCACTGAGGAGACACAGCAGCGCATGAATTGACAGGGGAGACAAGGTTTGGACACGAAAGCGTTCAATCGTTCTCAACAACTCGAATGCCAACCACGACAGCTACAGCAGTGTGACTGGTCAATTGTGTCTGTGTATGGGATGGGGTGCCTTGCTTCAGTATTTATTTGCACGTGTGAATGGCAGGGTCTGTGCTGCGTACATGCGGGATTGAGAACTATGTTTCACGTGCGATCTGAGAGTATGGTACAACGCTGACGGAGTGAGTGAGTGGAGCAAAATATAACATGTTGGTTTCTTGACTGATTGTTTTCGTTAAGCACTGGGGTCTTTTTTTAGGCTGCTACGTTTGCTCTGTGCTGTTGTGTGTGATGGAGTGGGGCGTGATACCCTCTGATGTCTGCGCGCGTCACGATGATTGCGCTAAGAATTTCGATCTGGTGTAGCTTGTTCAGTCGGTGTACATTTCACCGCAAGTGCATGAGCGCAGAGCTGTGCATGAGCGCAGAGCTGTGCACATGACATCTGCGTGTCCTGTCCTGTCCTGTCCTGTCCCGCTTCAGCTTGAGTTCGGCGGTTGATACAATGATGGGTGGGCGTGTTCGCGAGGTGTGCGGTGTATGTTTTGTGGTGTTTTGAGGTGTTTTGAATCTTAGAGGGGGTGAAAAGTGGGTCACGAAATAGTNTTCAGCTTGAGTTCGGCGGTTGATACAATGATGGGTGGGCGTGTTCGCGAGGTGTGCGGTGTATGTTTTGTGGTGTTTTGAGGTGTTTTGAATCTTAGAGGGGGTGAAAAGTGGGTCACGAAATAGTTGCGGGAGCTTCTCCTGGCTGGTTCAGCTGCTGCTTTTGTAGTGGATGGCGCCAATGTTCGTCGTGGCCGTCCCGGCCTTCGAGCAAGCTTCTCCTCCACACTGAGACCGTCATGCGTGCACCCACATCGGCGACAACTCGTACATGTTGGTACGCGGCATGCGCCCTCTACAGCGTCGCATGATTTCAACGACTCCAAGGGAATACAATCGCAAGCTTCGAAGCCAATGTGAAGTATCGGTCGATGGGAGGCGACAAATCAATTAGGGGTAGAGATAAAAATTGAAATGACATGCGGCCACTGGTATGAACAGCATGGTGAGCTGGTGCTAGACGGCTCGTGGTCGATGAGATTCTGAGGTTCCTAGGAGGAGACAGGCTTTGAAACTTCGTCACACTACGTTTCAGATGGTATCGAACGTCCAGTGCCAATTTGGAGAGGATATGAGGATTTTCGGAATTACTTGTGGATTTCTTTGCACTTTTCAGAGGTGACCATCTTATGTGGAAACCGTGTTAAATTAACATAAATCGACATCGCAGTTAAGTGAAAACGAAAACAATATTGAAACGAACAATATCTTCAAACTGAAACCTGCTCAAACCGATATATACCTTCAAATTTCCCGCTCATTTTCAAACTCGAGACAATTCAGTTCGCAAGTGGAGTCCGGGGCGGCAATGCCTCAAACTACAGACGAAGAACGACAGACAGTGTGGGAGTTTTTCTCCACCACAGCATACACGGTGTTGCTCAATACGGCGACTTCAAGTGGGTTGCAAACCACTTCCGTCTCCACACCAAGACTATATCACGCATTTGGTATCGAGGGATCCGATCGATGGGCGGCCGCAACACTGCTGTGGTGAAGTCAAGGGCTAAGGAACGCGGGAGGAAGAGCGCTGCGCTTTGCCAGCGCATTCATGAGGTGTCTGTGGTGGACCGCAAGACTCAAATTACGCTCCAGTTGGCTACAAACACCAGCTGCTACCTCATCCAGCAGTTGATCAAGGAGGTATACTTACGGCGCACCCTAATGCCAATTCGCCCTCTGCTCACGGAGAAGCACAAAATCGCGCGCATGTATGTCATGCAGCATGCTGATGGGGGTCACTACCTTGACCCGCGGTTGGACGTTATGCACCTCGATGAAAGTGTGTTTTCATTAAGAAAGTGGGGCAGCAGTTATACATCCTGACGGGCAAGGACGACACCCCGGAGTAGGATCCCCAATACAGTATGTCCGGAGCCAGAGGCACCTCGTCAAAGTAATGTTCTTGTGCGCAGTGGATCGGCCGAGGGGCGACTGGGGAGACGGAAAGGTAGGCATATAGTCGATCGTGGAGGAGAACATCACTCAGCGTGCGAGCATCAACCGCGGAGAGGAAGTTGTGGAGCTGCGGTCAATCTGAATGACACGCGAGATTGCACGAACGATGCTCGTCGAGGACGTCATCCCAGCTATCAAGACGAAATGGCCGCGTGGCGAGATGCACAGGTCCATCGAGATTCAGCAAGACAACACCCGGCCGCACGTCGATGCGAAAGATCCTCAAGTGCTCGCAGTCGGGATCTGTGATGGCTGGAACATCTCCATGACGAACCAGCCAGTGCAGAGCCAGGAGATTAGTGCATTGGATGTGGGCTTCTTCTGCAGCATTCAGGCGTTACAGTCTCAAACGGCGCCTCGCAACATCAATGAGCTCATTGAGGAGGTGGAGCTGGCGTTTGAGGACACGTCGGCGACCACGCTCACTATACCATTTCTGTCACTTCAGGTAATGATGGAGCATGTAATAGGCCGCCGCGGTGGAAATGACTTCCGCCTCACCCATTCCAAGAAGAACAGCTTACTGCGCTCTGGCCGCCTTCCGACAGAGTAGCCCTGTCGATTCCATCTTTACTACGACACGCTAGCAGCCGTGGTACCTCATACTTCTGTACACCCTCATTCTGACCTCTACTACCTAGGTTGATCCGGCGAAGCAAGCACACCTTTGTCGCGTAAGAACACACTGAAATTATCGCTACCAATCGGTATGAGTCCCACCAACAACACACGTCTCCCTGTTAAGGTCAACGGATGAACGATCCCTTACACCGGGTCGGTTGCAAGCGCCTCTGTACACCGAGGTTGTCTTCGGCCAACCCACAAACCTGCACCACTAACCACGAACGAGGGCTAGGACGCAATATAGCGCTTTCGCGCAAACCCCTGCAGTCCCTCAGAAGGAAGGGTACCGGCGGTCAAGCCTAGTACAGGGGTGCCAAGGTAAAACCTCGGCAGGTAGTCAAATATACGTATGGACACTCGAGTTCCACAGATATTTTGAGCGACACTCTGTTGTCGCTCCCACCTCTCGGCCACACCCACTCTTGTAATGGCCCGAATGAACCCTCGGTTCAATGCACCTTGGGTCCACTAAGTATCCCACGCAGCAGGGCGTGTCTAGGTACTACAATAAGTAAGCTACACTTACCGAAGTCGAACTTGACCCTTGCTCGCTTGGGGGGGGGGGAAGACTGCTGGTTTCTGTGGGAGATCCTGGACCCGACTCTATAGAGACCGAGCATACGATCGGTCTCTACTAAGTGCGGATAAGAGATGGATACAGAACCTAATCAGAACCCTCGGCTGGCGGTTTATTATAACCAGCCGGGAACTCTGCCACTAATTCCTCCTAGTCACTCGCTCGCGGGAAATGTGATTGGCCAATCAGAGTCCGCAGACGCTTTTCACCGAACAGTTCAGCGGCGGTTGCTTGGCAACTGAGCTGGCCACGGCGCGGCCAAAACCCAACGCCACACCTTCAGTTTCATACCAGTTATTCATCGTAAGCAGAAACCTTTGCACAGGTAACATTGCCATTTTGTATAACGAGTGGAGGTATGCGTTTGTTTTTTTAAAATGGACATTAATTGCCGAATGGAGGTAGTACATGTATATAGAGAGGTTCACTACAAAGGAATGAACACATTACTTTTTCATTGTTGGAATGAATATCTGGCCAAAACGATAAAGTAAATGGATGTCGCTCGTGTCATCTCCTCCTAGATTAAGTGCGATACGGATTAGGTCGCGGCTGCTGCGTGAAGGTGGTAAGCGCTATATGTAACCACAAAGCATCTCTCTCACACCCTCATTGACGTGACCAGAATCGTCATACAGGTAGCACTAAAAAAAAGCAGGAGATCTGCTACCGCTTTGTCGCGGAAATACTCCACGAATGCCGGGTGTCACGGATCACGGCCGGAGTCTGAACGGGCGTTTTACACGCCTGCTGTTACTAGTTGGTGATACCCTCGAGGAGAGGAGCGACGTCAGCAGGACGTTCAAGGACATGTTG